AAGCTACACCTGTGTCTGTTGAGGCAAAAGTGGCAGGGGGGGAACCGGAGCCCGCCCAGCAGATCAAACCCCCTCTGGGCAGCATATGAAGTATAAGCAGAAGGGGAACAGGATGGACCTCCAAGAATAGGACATTGCAGCATTTGATTATCGGTGTAGAAGATTGTTTCTGGCATAAATGTATATGCTATGCATACAGGTCAAAGTTGTAATACCCCCTAATCTGCAGTGTCCTTTTGGCATTTATGGGAATAGACATCCTGATTAGAGAAATGTATGTGGTGCCTCTCCTGTGGTCACATGGAAATGTTTTGGTTTGTTTTGAGGGAAAAGTACATGGGCTTTCTGGGATACCAACAAAGGCACGAAAGAAGGTGGAATCTTAGAAGGTGAAGAAAGATAATGGGACCTCAAAGGGTATCATTTGAAAAGAGAAATATGAGTAAAGAAGGACGAAAGGGATTCTTCAGAACGGTGAAGCAGAAACATATGATGCTTTGTACAGACGTTATTTAAACATGATGTCAAAGATGGTAGAGAAATGGCAGGCTGGTTTAAACATTGCAGAGCTGGTGGGTTCTGAGCCATGGTACTCCACACCTGTGATAAAGAGCTTTAAAATATGATCCACCGTGCCTTTACACTCATGGCAACTGCAGTAGGAATAAGAAGGGGATTAGCTTTCATTGGGTCTTGAACTGTGGAGGGATGAGGAAAGACAGAGAGAATTCAGCCTGCCCACCACCACTTGGTGGAAGGGGCCGTCAAGGTGTTGTCAACTTATAGCGACCTAGTAGGGTTTTCAAGGCAAGAGATGAACAGAAGTGGTTTGCCATGGCCTCCCTCTATGTAGCAGCCCTGGACGTCCTTGGTGGTTTCCCATCACAAGTACCAACCGGGGCCAGTCCTGCTTAGCTTCCAAAATATTACGAGATTAGACTAGCCCGGGCTAACTACCACTTAGCTCTGCTCAAAGTAGGAAACTGCAGAGAGAGACTAGCCCCAGAAGCCTCTTGCACCAACTCACAAAGCACGTCAGGGGGTACTAATTCTGATTCTTATAAAAGCTTCTGGATTGTGCATGCTCACTATTCTAAACTACTAAATTTAGATGCGCTCTTCTAGACTTATTTACAGATCACCTTCGCAGGAGCCAGGTCTGACACTTCCACATCAGGACACAATGTTTACATTGACCCTGAGAGGAAGCCAGCAAAAATAGTTGGAGAGCTATGTAGGTTTCAACGCTGTATATACATTTCTTCTACACACACACACCAGAATCATACCAAGGCAGCTCAATCACCTTTGCCAAATGAAGACTTACTCTGAGCTCTTTCACAGTTTGCAAAACCACTTGCTCTTCGATACATAGCTTGTATCCAGTTACTGTGTTAATGCTGCAGTTTTCCTCTGATATAAGGATCCTTCTGAAAGTACAACAGGCTCTTCCACATTTGAACAATGCAAGGGTCTTTCCCACCAATGGATAAGCCTGGAGTGTACATGGAACTTAAGGCATCAGAGAAAAACTGGTTGTTGTGTCCGCTGAGTGCCACTAGGGAGCCAGCGCCTTAGTCCAAGCTTGGTCTGGAACAACAAAGGGACCAAGAATCCTAGGAACACCAATAGGATCAATGGCGGGACATTGAAACCCACCAGTAGGAAAGGGGGTGCGGACTAGGTATTGTCTGGGGGGACACGCACAAATATAGGACTTTTGGGGCCAGTTGTTGTTGCTGTTAATGAGTGCAAGAAACTGAGTTGTTCACTATGCTGAATCACTGATCCTTTATGCAATGAACCCAGTATACAACATTGGCGATGAGGATGGGATCCCGCTGAGCGAGCCAGGCTGCCAGAGCACCTAAGAAGGGAACTGACCCCTGCTGTGGATGAGCACCACTGTCACCCAGACTGTGTCTGCGTCCTCACCTCCACTGCCGCGCAGCTCGATGGCTGTCACTCCGGGAGCAGGACTAGTTCTCCTATTTGATCCAGCCCGCCCTCAGCAGTGGGGAGCCTGGGTCACAGGGCTCAAGTCCATCCTTGTTTTCTACCAGGTAACCAAAGAGGAGAAGAAGAAAGGCCTTCTCATCAGCTTATGTGGTCCCACCACTGTCAACCTGGCACAGAACCTCCTCTCACCCACCACGTTGGACAACGCAACGTTGGAACAGATCATCAAGGCTCTGCAAGACCATTTTGTCCCCAGACTGTCCAAGATGCCGTGCCATGTGGCCTTCCACTACCGGAAGCAGCAACCACAGGAGACATCCACAGAGTATCTGGCCAAACTTCGCCGTCTCACATCCTACTGCAAATTCAGAAACCGTATGGAGACAGCACTTCGTGACCAGTTCATATGCAGTCTACGGGAGGAGAAGCTCCAGAGGAAGATTACGGAAACTGAGACTTGCACCCTTGCTTCCGTCCTCTCCACAGCCACCGCTTGGGAACGAACAACCCAATCCTCCACTGAGTCCACATCAGGTCACCGGGACACCACCGTGCATCGAGCCACTGTGGACTCCGGAGACTCTGATGCAGAGGAGGTCCACAAAAGCCAACAGGCCTTACGAAGGAAGGTCCCAGGAGTTCCCCCACATCCCAACCGGGTCCAGGACTCCACCTCACCTCCGGAGTGTGCCAGCTGTGGGGACCCACACGAATGGAGAACATGCAGGTTCCGGAATGCCACATGTTGGGATTGTGGGTGCTCTGGCCACATCACCCGGTTATGCCGCTCGTGGGGATCGCAAGCCCTGAATGGCAAGCCGCCACAATGACACCGTGCTGCCACGCACTATGAGGCCGACGTGACCCCAGATGAGCTCTACCTCCTTTCGATGGAGCCTACACAGCAGGTACTGAAACTCCCGAGCCAGAGTACTGCCCCTAAGATACAGATCCAGGTGCATATTGAGGGGTCCCCTTGCACCATGGAGCTGGACTCTGGCTCCACAGCCTCCATCATTTCGGTGGAGATGTTCAAAAGTGTTTGTCCCAATGGCGGGCTCCGCCTGTGACCCTCCAACATACACTTAGTGGACTTTCAGAGGAACTGTGTTCCGGTGTGGGGCGAGGGTCGTTTCCGGGTCCAATACCGGAGTTCAAAGGGTTATTAAACTTGGTGGTGGTCAAGGGAAATTTGGTTAGTCTTTTGGGCCGAGCATGGTTCACTCCCCTTGGAATAACCATTGAGGGGGTGAAGGTATGTGACCAATGAGACTTTAGCGAAGTCTTCAGGGAATTCCTGTCCATTTTTTAGGGGTTTCTGGGATGCTACACTGCCTCCCCGTCTCACTGCAACTCAACCCCAAAGTATCACCCATTCGCATGCAAGCCCGACGTGTCCCTTTCGCTCTGGAACCAAAAATTGACGCTGAGCTGGACCGCCTGGTAGCTCAAGGGGTCCTGGAACTGGTTTCCCATGCAGCGTGGGAGACCCCTATAGTCATACCTGTGAAGCCCAACGGCAATGTCTGCATCTTTGCAGACCAGAAATGTACACTGAACAGGGCCCTACAGGATCATACCTACCCTGTCCCAGTTGTGAGTCATGTGTTAGCTACCTTGGCGGGGGCGAAGGACTTCAGCAAGCTGGACCTCGCCCAAGCATACCAGCAGCTGCCGGTGGATGAGGCTACAGCCGCAGCCCAAACGATAGTCAGACACCGTGGGGCATTCAAGCTGAAGCCGCTCCAGTTCAGGGTGAGCGTGGCCCCAGGACTCTTCCAACACTTAATGGACTATCTTTTGAAAGGAATACCGGGTGTCACACCATTCTTCGATGATGTGATGATCGCCGCGGTGACCAGGGAGGAGTTTGCGACCCGTCTCCACACCATCCTCCACTGTTTCCCCGAGGCCGGCCTCAAGGTGAAGCAGGAAAAGTGCCTTCTAGGGGTCAACCAGGTGGACTTCTTGGGATTCACCATAGACGCGGACGGCCTCCATCCTGCTCGGGACAAGATTAAGGCCATCATGGAGGTCCCACCACCCAAGTCCAAGGCGGAACTTCAGGTGTCCCTTGGACTCCTCCATTTCTACCATGCATTCCTTCCCCACAAGGCGACAGTCGCAGACCCCCTGCATCAGCTGCTGAACAAGAAAGCCCTCTGGATCTGGGGACCCTGCCAGGCAGCTGTGTTCCGGGCCGTCAAGGTTCTGCTCATCTCGAACTCAGTGTTGGCCCACTTCGATGAATCCCTGCTGGTGATTCTCATGTGCAATGCTTCTCCCTATGGTGTGGGCGCTGTGCTAAGGCACCAACTCCCCAACGGACATGAGATACCGGTGGCCTACTACTCCTGGACCTTATCGGCTGCAGAGAGGAACTATGCCCAGATCAATCATGAGGGGCTGGCAATTGTCGCTGGGGTGAAGAAGTTCCACGACTTCTTGTATGGAAGGCCCTTCACCGTCACGATGGACCATTGCCCTCTCTTCGTGTCAGACAAGCAGACACCACAGGTCCTATCCCCGTGTGTCTTCCGGTGGTCCATTTTCTTGGTGGGCTACAACTACCGTATCCAGCACCGCCCGAGGAAGGTGATGGGACATGCGGATGCCCTCAGCTGCCTGCCCTTGCTGTCCATCGAATCAGACCTGGCTCCATCGCACCACATCCTGCTCATTGACGACCTCCTGGACCAGCCCCTGCAGGCCACCGACATTGCCCGCCACTTGACCAGGGATCCTGTCATCTCCCAGGTCCTGGGTTGGGTGTGCTGGGGGTGGCCCACTGCCATGGCGGGCCCTGAGTTCACAGCCTTCACTGCCCAAAAGGAGGAACTGTTGGCATACAAGGGGTGCTTACTGTGGGGGGATCGAGTCGTTGTCCCCGGTGCCCTGCGCCAACGCGTCCTCCAGGCGCTCCATGAGGCTCACCCAGGGATTGTCCGGATGAAGGTCCTGGCCCAGAATTACCTGTAGTGGCTGGGGATTGATGGGGAAATCGAAGCATGGGTGAAGGGGTGTCAAGCGTGTCAGGCTGTTCACCTGAACCCTCAAAGCACGCCCACACAGGCTTGGGAGTCCACCCGCATGCTGTGATGTCAGCTCCACATCGATTTCGCCGGGCCCTTTCGTGGACTGCTTTTCATGGTCACAGTGGACTCCTACTCCAAATGGCTGGAGATAACCCCCATCACTGCAACTGCCTCAAAGGCCGCCATCTGAGCGCTGCGCTGAATCTTCACGACCCATCATGTCTGACAATGGAACAGCCTTTGAAAAGTATGCAGACGGAGAGTGATTTCAGCTAAGCATACCTTTATTTAGTTCAGGACAAAGACGAAGGGACCAGCTCGCAGGCTGGTTATATATGTTCAGAAAACCCGCCACCAAGTACACCTAAACACACCCCCTACTCCCGATAGGCTATTTACAGTAACCGGGCGACCATTGGTCTCCCGGCTGAGAAGCTGGCCCTCTGATTGGGGCCGGCTAGGATCCTACGGACCCATTGTCTTTGGACATGAAGCTATTGAAGAGTTGTGCCTGGCCAGCCCGGGCAAGTCCGGGCATGTCAGGCTGAATACATTACACCCCTCCCCCCTTGGTTCAGAAGGCACCCACAGACGAAGTCCTTCAAGTAGGCGGGTGGCTTCTTGGGGCGCGTCGAGCGTCGGGGCTCCGGGGTAGCGATGGGTTCGGTCTCGGGGGCCCTGGGAGCCGAGGGGCCTGGGACCGACGAGGGCGCCGAGGAGGCAGGACAGGCTGGCACCACGGTGTGAGGTGCCTCGGGTTCCTCACGGAGAGGCGGCTGTGGATCCGGTGCCGGGAGTGGGGCCGATGTGGCAGGCTCTGGGTCCTCGTCCGGATCCTCAGGGTCCAGCTGTAGCGTGCGACGGCGCAGCTGATCTATGTGCCGGTGGAGGATCTGGCCGTCCTCGCTGGAGACCTCGTATGAACGGGGGCCCTTGACCCGTATGACTCGGGCTGGGATCCATTGAGGCCCCCGGCCGTAGTTTCGGGCGTACACCGGGTCCTCTGGAAAGAACCCTCTGGCCGGCTCGTACGTCTCGGTGCCCGGGGCCTCCGGGGTTGCCCGATCTGGGTGTAACCGATCCAGTCGGGAGGCTAGGCGACGGCCCAGCAGTAGTTCGGCTGGGGTGCGGCCGGTCGTGGAGTGTGGCGTGGTGTGCTGTCCGAAGAGGAAAGCGGCTAGTTTATAGTCCCAATCGGTGGAGTCCAGTCGGCGAAGTGCGTCCTTTGTGGTGCGCACCATGCGCTCCGCCTGGCCATTTGTAGCGGGGTGAAACGGGGCGGATCGGACGTGGCGGATCCCGTAGTACCTGGTGAACGCCTGGAACTCGGCAGAGGTGAACGCGGTCCCATTGTCCGTGACCAGCGTGTCGGGGATCCCTTGGCCGCTGAAGATCCTCCACATGGCCCGGATTGCGGCCTGCGAGGATGTGGAGGGCACTGGGACCACTTCCAGCCACTTGCTGTATGCGTCCACCAGGATGAAGAACAGCTTGCCCTGGAAGGGTCCCGCAAAGTCCAGATGGAGGCGGGACCAGGGACGGTGGGAGGATTCCCAGGCCCTCTCGGGCGCTCGGGGTGGTTCCGGCCGCGAGGCTTGGCATGGCTGGCACCTCTTGACTACCCCTTCAATGTCGGCGTCCAGTCCCGGCCACCACACGTAGCTCCTGGCCAGGGCTTTCATCCGCACCACCCCGGGGTGTGTCTCATGCAGGGCGGTGAGTACCCGTTCCCTTAAAGGCGAGGGGATGACCACCCGGCTTCCCCACAGCAAGCACCCCTTGTGGGTTGAGAGTTCGTTTTTCCGGGTGGCGAACGGGGCGATGTCCTGGTCTCCTTTGGCCTCGGGCCACCCCCTCACCACCCAGTCCAAGACCCTCCCCAATGTCTTGTCCTTGGAGGTACAGCGTGCCACCTCCGAAACATGGACCAGCTGGTCCGTGAGGGCTTCCAGGCTCGCGACCAGGAGCGCGGGGGCCGGGTCCGGGTCACACTTGGGGAGGGGCAGGCGGCTCAGAGCGTCAGCGTGGCCCATCGCCTTCCCGGGCCGATGGACGAGGTCGTACGCATACCCCGCCAGGAAGATGGACCAGCGTAGCACCCTGGGCGAGGTGATCTGTGGCGTCTGCCGGTCGGGTGCGAGGAGGCCCAGCAGGGGCTTGTGGTCCGTCAGGATCGTGAACGGACGGCCGTACAAGTAGTGGTGAAATTTTTTCACCCCTGCCACGATTGCCAACGCCTCCTTGTCGATCTGCGCGTAGTTGCGCTCGGCCGACGACAGTGTCCGCGAGTAGTAGGCCACCGGGACCTCGCGACCATCCGGTAGTCTGTGCCCCAGGACCGCCCCGACCCCATAGGGAGAAGCGTCGCACGCCAGCACCACGGGAAGGGCCTCGTCAAAATGGGCGAGGACCGCATTAGAGACCAGGAGGTCCTTTATTGTTTGGAAAGCCGCGGCGTGCGGAGGCCCCCAGACCCATGGTGCTGACTTGTCGAGGAGGCGGTGGAGCGGCTCTGCGACGGCCGCCTTCAGGGGCAAGAAGGAGTGGTAGAAGTTCACTAGGCCCAGGAACGCCTGTAGCTCCGTCTTGGACTTCGGGGCCGGGGCGTGCGTGATGGCCTCTACCTTGTCCTGGGAGGGGTGCAGGCCGGCGGCGTCCACCGCGAAGCCCAGAAACTCCACCCGCGGCACCCCCAGTAGGCACTTCTCCCGTTTCACCTTGAGGCCCGCCGCGTCGAAGCGCTGTAAAACGGCCCTCAGACGGTCTGCGAAGGACGAGGGGTCTGGCGCGGCGATCAGCACGTCGTCTAGAAACGGCTGAACTCCGGGGATGCCTTTAAGAAGGGAATCCATAAAAGATTGAAAGATCCCCGGCGCGACTGAGACCCCGAACTGGAGGCGGTGCACTTTGAAGGCCCCCTTGTGGGTCGCAATGGTCTGGGCCTCGGCCGTGGCGGCGTCCACCGGTAGCTGCTGGTACGCCTGGGCCAAGTCCAGTTTGCCGAACACCCGGGCCCCGGCCAGGGCCGCCAGCACTTGGCTTACTACCGGCACCGGGTATGCGTGGGGCTGTAGGGCTTTGTTTATGGTACATTTATAGTCCGCGCAGATGCGGACGTCCCCGTTCGGCTTGATTGGTGTGACAATGGGGGTTTCCCACCGGGCCGACGCCACAGGTTCTAGCACGCCTTGCTCAACCAGGCGATCAAGCTCGGCCTCCACCTTCGGCCTCATGGAGATCGGGGGCAGCCGGGACCTGATGCGTATGGGGCGTATCGCTGGGTCTAGGTCCAGGGAGATGGCGGGGCCCGTGTACCGCCCCAGGGTCCCATCGAAGACGCGGGGGAATTCTGCACACACCGCCCCGAAATCCTGTGCTCCAACCTGGTTGATGCCCGTAACGGAGAGCCCCAGGGCCTTGAACCAGGCCAGTCCCAACAAGCTGGAGAGGGGGCGGTCCACAACCAGTAGGTCCAGTTGGCCCTTGAAGCCCTGAAACTGGACCCGGAACTTGCCCCAGCCCACCACCGCCACGGGGTTTTTGTTAAAGTCCCGTAACCGGAAACCCCGTGACTTCTGTAGTGGTGGCCCCCCCTGAGGACACAGTGAACGGAGCGTGTCCGCGGATATTATGGAGTAGGTCGACCCGGTGTCGATCTCCATGGTGCAGGGGGCTCCCTCTATGAGGACCGTCACATGCATTTTATTTGGGCCGTCGGGGGGCAGGTTACAGACCTGGTGCTGTGGGAAGTGGGACGACACGGTGTGGAGCTCCAGGGGCAGTTCCGCGGTGGTCTGGTGGGTGGCCGATCTCGGTCGTTGTCCCTGGGACCGGCAGACCTTGGCGATGTGTCCGGCCTTGTTGCAGGAGCGGCAGACCGCATTCCGGAAACGGCACGACCGGCGTTCGTGGCCCTCCCCGCAGCTGGCGCACTGGCTTGGAGACGGGGCCTTGTTGGTCCTGGAGGATGCGTGTTTTGGTCGCTGCTGAGTCCGCTGTCGGAGTTGCAGGACTTCCTCTTGGTCCGAGACGTCGGAGCCGCTGCTCACTTGGGTACGGTGGACCGCCTTGGCGCGGCGGTCTTGTCGCGCTTGTTCGTATGCTGAGGCCTCCCGGATGGCCTTGTCCAGGCTCAGATCGTTCTGGCTCACCAGTTTCCTCTGCAGCTTCGGCTCCCGGAGTCCGACGAGGAACTGGTTCAGGAGGGTATCGTCGAGGCTGGGGAAGGAGCACCGGGTCGCCAGGCTCCGCAGCGCCGCCAGAAAATCGGAGGTGGTTTCGCTGGGGCCCTGAACTCTTGCGAAGAAGTCCAACCGCTCCACGTACTTCGTGGGTTTGGGAGCCAGATGGTCGGTCAGGGCCTGGACTAAGGAGCTGTATGACTCGTCCTTCGTTAGTTTGGGCGAGATTAAGTCCTTGAGGAGCCGATGGGTCTGGATTCCGCAGTGGCTCAGCAGGTAAGCCTTCTTCATCGCGTCATCCACCACCTTGTGGATGGTGAAGCGGCTCTCCAGCGTGTCCAGCCAGGTGTCCCACAGCGAGGGCTGGGAGAGATCGAAAGCGGGCAGGCTTTCAGTTGCGGTCGCGGTCGCCATTGTGTTGCAGCCACGTGGTGGGGTGGCCTCTGGAACGGCGATGGCGTCGGGAGCGTTGTGGAGGCCGCTGCTGCTCTCGGGGTCAGCAGGGAGCGAAGCGGAGCCGGGAGCTGCGCGATGAGCGGTTGCCGGAGAGCTGGGAAGCGAAGCGGCGCGGTTCCCGGAGGTCTCGGCGTCGGGGCTCGGTGCGGTGCTCGTGTTGGCGTCCGGGTCTTTGTTCATGGGGTCGTGGATCCCATCCTCGTCGCCAGTGAAAAGTATGCAGACGGAGAGTGATTTCAGCTAAGCATACCTTTATTTAGTTCAGGACAAAGACGAAGGGACCAGCTCGCAGGCTGGTTATATATGTTCAGAAAACCCGCCACCAAGTACACCTAAACACACCCCCTACTCCCGATAGGCTATTTACAGTAACCGGGCGACCATTGGTCTCCCGGCTGAGAAGCTGGCCCTTTGATTGGGCCGGCTAGGATCCTACAGACCCATTGTCTTTGGACATGAAGCTATTGAAGAGTTGTGCCTGGCCAGCCCGGGCAAGTCCGGGCATGTCAGGCTGAATACATTACAGCCTTCATGTCAGATGAGTTCCAGGCGTTCCTCTGGGGAAATCTCATCCGGTATGTGAGGTCTGCACCTTTCTACCCAGCCACCAATGGGCAGGTGGAGCGCATGGTGAGGACTGCAAAAGAAGCCCTCAGCTGAATCACGGAAGGTGACTGGGAGTCCCGCCTGGCCCGATTCCTGCATGTCACAACATACCACCCTTAACCCAGTCAGCGGCAGCAGCCCGGCCGAGTTACTGATGGGCCAGTGGCCAACCGTGCTACTGGACAGGCTGTACCCGGATAGAGCCCCTGAGTCACAGAGGCTCTCCGAACAAGTGGAAGCTCCCAGGGGGTTCTTTCTGGAAGACCCCATGTTCATAAGGAACTTTGGAAAGGGAACCCCTTGGCTGGCAGGCTGGGTCATTCGTCCAATAGGGCCGGTCTCGTACGAGGTCTCCACAGAGGTCCTGCGAAAGCACGTGGACCAGCTGCGAAGGTGCCAGGCTCCCTGCATCCCCGGAGACAGAACTCTCAGGGGTCCCCAAATGGCAGCTTCCAGAGGAACTGGACGTCGACCTCCCTGAAGTGAGAGCCGGTGAGCCCTCTCCACCTCCGTTCCCAGAGTCTAGGGAAGCATCGCCGCCCTCTGTTCCTGAGGTTGAGGGGAATTCCCTGCCTTATCAGTGCCAAAGGGACAGTCCACCCATAGAAGCTCCGGAAACTCCAGTACTGTTACCCAGGCGTTCTACCCGGGAACACCGCCCCCCGGCCTACTTGAAGGACTATGTGTAGTAGGCACACTTTGAACTATGGGGGGAGGGATGTTGTGTCTGCTGAGTGCCACTAGGGAGCCAGTGCCTTAGTCTGAGCTTGGTCCGGAACGACAAAGGGACCAAGGATCCTAGGAACACCAATAGGATCACTGGTGGGACATTCATACCCACCAGTAAGAAAGGGGGTGTGGACAAGGTATTGTCTGGGGGGACACATAAATATAGGACTTTTCAGGCCAGTTGTTGTTGTTCATGTGCAATAAACTGAGTTGTTCACTATGCTGAATCGCTGACTCTTCATGCAACAAACCCAGTATACAACAGAGGTATTAGTGGAATAGAATTGTAGGATCCAACCAATGGCAGCATAGTTTTTCAGGAAGAATTTGATGGGGGGAAAATGAGAAGCCACCAGACAGTCAGCAACAGGGACTTCAGTACCCCAGTAGATGTTCCTGTTCTGGAAATTATTACTGTGCTAATCTCACACAAGCAGTGAAATGTAGTAAAATAGTTTTCATTGTTGCAATTAAAATACAAATTTCAAAAGAGTTTCTAAGTTAAATATGGTTGTTCTTCTGGCAAAAGCAATCCATCTGCTTTTCTCTCCCCCCCCCCCCCAAGAGCTGTGTGAAGTTGGATTTTGTAGCTCAGTAGGTTTTTGTAGCTTCACCAACAAGGCCACTTAATAAAACATGCATCATAACTGATTCTTTGTATTTCATTATAGATTATAAAACATGCATGTATTTTATATTGAACACAAATATTAAAGGGCAGGAAATAACTTTGCGGTACTGATCTGGACAGATATTGTGAACATCTGTGATGCTGACCATAAAAAAGTAGAGACTTTAATTATTGATGTTTGCCCCAGTGGGTGATTCAATACATTCCAGATGGGAAAGCTCCATTGAGTGGGATGAGAGTTCCTTTTGAAGACACTTTCTAATCCAATCAATAATAGACTAAAATAAAGCTACAGTATAACTATAACCATCCTTTTGATTAGAAAGTTGATGTGTAAATGACTTTTCAGCCAAGAGTGGCAGCTCTCTTCATAGCTGAGTTTCTTCACTGTGGATAGAAGAGTTCATGGCAGAACATGGTCTTGTTTATTTGTGTTTTTATAAACGAACAGACAGTGACAAATAAAGTTCCCAGACTTTGGATTGCCAACCTGACTGCGGACAAAAACAATTCATTTGCTCAGTCGTAAAGGGTGAGTTTTTGTATGTAAAAATTCCCAGATTTTAATCCTGCCAGTTAAAACAATCTCACATAGCAGGTATGGGGGAAAGATGGAATCTGGAGCTAAACTTCACTGGGCTGGGCGAACTAATGGGTCACACATGATCATAAAAAGTGAATGCCGTTTTGTCCCCCAGTTTTTATCCCTAGTGCAGTGTAATGTCTGTGCCATTCGCTGGAACATCTCGAATTCAGACCTCACCTTGACCATGAACAAACTCAGTGGCCAGAGACAAGCCACAGTTCCCGGCCTCTCTGCCCTCCGCACCTTGAGGACGATGGTGCTGACCTATTTTACAGGGATTGCAGAAGTGACCTATATGAAGTTTATGGAACACTTGAGGGAAATGCCATTATAGCCATTGCTGTTCATTGAGATTATTTGTCTCCTGCCTTTCTTCCCAGTGGGGATCCAAAGCGGCTTACATCGTTCTCCTCCCCTCCATTTTATCCTCACAACAACCCTATGAAGTAAGTTAGGTGGCTGAGAGTGTGTGACTGGCCGAAGATCACTCTGTAAGCTTCCATGGCAGCGCAGGGATTCGAACCGGAGTTTCCCAGACCCTGGTCCGACACTTTAACTAGTAATCCACCAGATGGAAAAGGTGGAAATGATGGTGGAAGGAAAGTGGAGTCAGTAAATTCATGCCATTATTTTTCTTCGGTTAAACCATTTGGCACTCTTTGCATTAGATAGGGAAACTGATAGATACATTTGTTTGTTTATATGGATCTATTTGATTTGAACTAAAGGACAGTAAGGGGAGGCTAAACCAAGGGTGTGGTCACACAGCAAGCTTACCACGATTTGTTCTCGCTGTAGATGTGATCGGGGATAATTTTTAGCGGGTTCGGATGATCACACATCCCTTGCCCAAAGGCTTGCATTGTGCAACAAGGCTCCAGGCACCACCCAGACAGCTGCGCTGCCCAAGTGGTGGTGCGGCACAAGATTTTTTAAAAATCGTATGCACATGTGCACATGCACACATATGTGCGTATGTGCATTTGCAAATCATGGCTCCCACTTGGATGCAGCATTTTTTCCCTGAACAGTAAACAAAATGAACTACCGACATGCAGTCAAGCGCTGGTCTATGTGTGCTTGAGTGTTCATACATTTAATATATTCAGCGCAGGATTGGTCATGTGCACAACGGTGAAAGCCAGAAAAAAAACCTACCACAAGAAGGACATACAGATGATCTAATCACATTCATAGTGAGAGATGGCCTTCCAGATAGGAGAAATTGGGGATTCACAGCGCAAGTAGTAGGAAAGTACTCAATTTTCCGGTGTCAGAAAAGGCGCTAGAAAACCAGGAGGATTGCGGGGGTGAGTCCGCTTCAATACGGGAGACAGAATTGGCTGTCTGATCAGCCCTTTTAAATGTGATAGGGAACAGTTATGAAACCCAATCAAAATGACCTTGTGACCACGACCTCTCTCACCACTACCCAGTCTATAGTCTAATCTATAGCGTCACGGCAAACATTTACATTTTCCAGCTGCAGGTTCTCTGGTCCCTTCAGGGAGTTTACAGTGCAGTTGTTCTATCCCAAATTCCACCACTCCACAAACATATTCTCCTTAGGCCACCCAAATGCAAATCTGGCAGCCTGTGAAGCAGGAAGCCCACCTACCCCACAGACTTGATGGTAACCTCAAATGCAAAACACATTTGTGCAAAATGTTGTCTCCAGATACTGGGATTCAGCTCATGCCTCTGACATCTCCTGATTGTGTCATCTGGTTGAGTTGGTTCTGTTGCTGTGGAAACAGCAGAGCTCCACTACACACTTGCTCCTGTGCTTGAATAAAGTAGCCATGGCAGAGCGCAACATACACACACACACAGAGTTGCCCTCTTCCCATAGTTCACAGGTCTTCAGATACTGTGCTCTGTGATGCAAACATGACCCTCCGTTTACATGAAGGGCAAAATGGGCTTCTCCCTTCTCCCAGATCCTTATTGCAAAGTCACACTTTGTTGGTCCTACTAGATGGTGGTTGTAAAAGGATTTAACTTCCCATCTACGAGTAGAGAAGGGTCATATGGTTGGGATGAGGGACAGCTTTATATTATTATTAGAAAAGCCAGGCTTGACACATCTCTGTTGAAATGCAATCCCTTCCCCTCAACAGGAAGTTTAGATGCCAGATGTGGCACTGCAAGGAACTGTCTAGGCCGGGCTAGGCTGTTGCAGAAACTCTTTCTGAAGGTCAATCAGTCAGTGTCATCATTAATCCAGGGTTGGACAACAAAGGGACTCCTCCAGTGGGGATCAACACCACCTCCATCACATCCCTCTAGAGCAGCATCTGCTTCAGTTCTACATCTGAAAGGTTAGATTTGTAGAAGAGAATATAAGTAAAGATAGTTATGGGGGGGGGGGAGGATTAAAGTTTGACCACAATTCCTGTTACATTTGGAACTCCTTTCCAATTAAAGGGGAATGTGATAGAGAGATTTAGCCTCCTGTCCAAGAGTGGAGCTGGATGATATAACTTAGGAAGGGACAGCGTTGTTGGTGAGTGGGTTCCAGTAAGTAGCCTGGCAAAGCTGGATCCAATGGGAATGTCACAGACTAGAGGCAACTAGCTGTTGCTATCTGCAGACAGAGAAGTCACTATTCCAGATCTGCCACTAATCTGGAAGAGAAGCAGCTTCATTGGAAACAAGACATTGGACTAATGGCTCTCTGACCTGAACCAACAAGTTAGTTCTTAATTATAGTATTTCATTTTTAAAAAGCACTTTAAAAGTGCCAACGTAGTATAAGAGCAGCGGACTCTAATCTGGAGAGCTGGGTTTGATTCCCCACTCTTCCACAGGAAGCCCAAGCTGGGTGACCTTGGGCCAGTCACAGTTGCCTCAGAATTCTCTCCGCCCCCCCCCACCTTCCTCAAGGTGCCTATTGTGGGGGGAGGAAGGGATGGTGACTGTAAGCTGCTTTGAGACTCCTTAGGGTAAAGAAAAGTGGGGTTTGGAAACCAACTCTTCTTCTTCGTTAGTGCCACATACATAACCATTCCTGAACTTCATGCTAATCAAGCCAGAGTTGGAGCACACTGTTTCTGCACTCATAGTCACTCAGGCAGACTAGGATTCCCCCGTTCATGTTTACACATAAACCAAGCATATACGTGAAGGGATGTCCACCCCAACTGGGAAGTGTTTTATGCAGTTACTATTCTGTATTATCTGTATTTGCAACCTATATTAGCAATTCAGCCTCAATGTACTTCAGCAACATGAGAGAACTGGGGGTGGGGGGAGTCATTCTAGTACCAATGCAATGATACAGATAAATGAAATTGGAAGCCTGTTTTTGTGTGTGTGTGTGTGTGTGCACGCGCACGCACAGTATAATTAATTCTATCTGTGTAGTATAATATACAAAATAGTCATCCTTCATACCACTTAATGACAACATTTTTTTCTTTTATCATCTGCAGTAGATTTAAAGCCAGGATATAAATTTAACTATGTAAATGTTATAGCCAGAACCGCACAACTAACTTCCGCCCCCGCCCCCACCCCACAGATTCTTTTGGAAGTGGCTTCTGGAACCTCTCAGGACTTTCAAAAGTTGTTTGTAATGCCGATTTTGGGGGTGCAACTCACATAAAGTGTCAGAAGACTCACAGAGTAACACAAACCTTTAAGCACTCCAAAGTGAACTCTGGGGATTGTGCTCCTTGCATTTGCAAATGCCATTCGAGCATCATAATGTGTTTAGCTCTCATTTGGGTTATTGCTCTGTGCCATTTTATAATAATTTTTTGATTTTCTTCCAAACAGTTGCAGTGTTCCCCAAAGAAATTGACATATAAAGATTTCCCCTACTTTTACTCTGTTTTCACTCAGAAAAAAACTCTGATGGCAGTCAGTGAGAGTTTTATCTGGGATAAATTAGGAATGAAATTGCTAAGTATGAAATTCTTACCTTTTTGTAAAACTTTGAAAGTTTTGAAGTACAGATATAACAATGTTGTCATACATGGAACACTTAACACATTTATTTGGCATAAGTTTGCCTGAGCCAGAGCCCCTGTTGTCAAATGCATTGATCAGAGTCTCATGAAAGCTTTTGCCACAATAAATCAGTCTTTAAGGTACCATGAAACTCTTTGTTAGTCTGGCTGCAGCAGACTACCTCTCTGATATAGATACATACGTGCATATTCAAACAATGCTGTAAATCAGCTATGATGATAGGAGCCAAGCTTGTGCAGTTTATGGAATTCAGGTGATTTAGGAAATAGATAGCTTTTGATGGACACTCAGGAGCAATGTGGAGAAGGAAGAAAGTCTAAATCTGGTTTTGTACAAGGATAAAAGAGGAAGACCACTATCCCAATGGAACTCAACTTAGTAAATGCTGCTAAATTCAATGATCTTTTCTTCCAAATATGTCTAGGTTTGCGTTTGGCTGGAATGTTCCTGTATGTTTCTTTCAATGGGGCAAACAGCAGCTCTTAGAATTTAAGATTAGGAAAGAGTTAAACTCCAGCCCTTGCACTGCAGGCTCAGCCTGAACCGTGGCTTTCAGTGACAGTTACCTTCGAATGGAAATGAAGTGCCCGGGATCCAGTCATGGAACTTCTAGAGTCTCAGCAGTAATCCTATGTACACTTACTTGTAAAGAAGACCTACTTAATTTAGTGGATCTTATCTTTAACTGAACATGGAAAGCATCAGACTGTATAGCATCACACATATCTGATATGCAGGTAATAAGGAGCTTGTGTCATTTTTTAAAAAAATCCCCTGACAAAACAATGTGGGGAATGGTAATGTGCCTTCTTTTCTAGGTCACAAAACATCCAGCACTTTTTGATGTACTTTTTCGCACAAGCCATATCGGAGGGTAACAGTACTTTATAACAAGTAATAAAAATCCCAAGTCCTCTTCATTGGTCCCAGGCGAAAACCCACCCCAGAAGCCCAAGCGTTCCAGCTATTTCAAGCTATCCTGAATAAGAAAAGACCTGTGGCATTTCTAGAAGGTATTCACTGTTCTGTTTGGGTAGATTCTCAGCTGAAAGACAGCCACTGACAGGGCAAATAGTTTGCAATGCATGCAATATTCATGCATATCTGCTGTGTCACTGCTATATGATATATACTAGTGTATTAGATATCAGTAGCAGTAGGGGTTTCCTCTGCAATGCTCCTACTTCTGATGCTATTTTGGCTGAGAAGTGTATGTGAGTTTGAATTTTTGTCTTTAGAGTCACAGGAAGACCTGGGAAGCAGAAGAAGTGGTCTAAGGGAGATAAATGTGAACATCAGTAACTCATCAGCTGCAGACCACGTGCCCACAGTGAGAGAAACTGGAGAAGCATCAGCTTCAGTTCTGAAAAACGTCTAGGTCCCATTGATCTCGTTAGCACTTACAAGCAATCGGCTGGTTTTAAGTTCGCAGACATAAATTAATCCAGATGCTTAAATTAGAACTAATTCAGGTTGCGCTACTCTCATTACAGAACAGGGAACTCTTTAGAGCTTGGCTAAAATTAGTTAGCCTTTGAACAAGTGAGATGAGAGAGCTCGAGTCGAGGGATTCCTAAGATCAGCTTGTTCAGTGGATCTCCAAATTGGCTAAGCCGGGTATATAGACCAGGAGTCCGGTCTTTGGTCTTTAGCTTAGCCAACAGAGCCAATCTCACTGAGACTTCTGAATGGACCCTGGCAGCTCTGCCAGAGATTCTTCTCAACTGCTCCTGGTCTCTGTCCAACTCCTGCAAGCACCTAGCTCCTGTAATGCTTCACCTCTCAATCAACTGCTCAGGTAGGACACTGCTTCAGATTTTTCCTGACCTGAGAAACACCTCCCGAATTGCTTCCCTTACCTGACTCTGATCCTGGCCTTGTGCCTAAC